ATGGGTTCTGCACAGTGCCTGAACCTGGGATATCCTCTTTCTCTGGTTCAGCTCAGCAGGTTTCCCTGACAGAACGGGCCAGGACAGGAGCCTTGCTTGGGAACTTACAGTTACAAATACCGTGTTTGCAGGTGAAACCAACACAAACACAACCCACGGGTGCTGCTCAGTGGTGCAGTGTACATGGGTGTGCAGTGTTATTCCCCGGGACCCCATCTTTCCCAATAGCCCCCTTCCCTCTGATTTTGTGCAGGTGATCTGAAGACTCTACTAGTACCAGTGGATTCCCCCTACCAGCGTACCTGGATAATCTGAGATGCAGGTTATGTATGTGAAAATAGAGTTGTTAACTTAAAACATGAAGATTAATTCTGTTAAGAAGCTTCTTGGGAAACTGTCTCCTCGTTGCTGAACAATTCACCGTGGTTTTTGAGTTTCACAGGCTAGGATCTGTTACACAGACAAACCTGCAACCACTTACTGAACCGCAGGTTCCATTCTGACTGCCCTTGTTTTCCAGCATGAGTTTGTTCAGAGGATCTGAGCATTATCAAAGCCTCTGGGCCAAGCCCTTCTAGGTGTTGATATTAGAGATGTCAATGCAGAGCCAGGCTTGAAAGAGCCTCCAGGAGTGCATTGCTGGCCAGTACAGTAGAGCTGTACTGATACCATTATTCCAATAAGAAAGTTATTTGAAATGGACAAACAGTTCCATTCCGTGTACACATTCCCAGACCCAAGGTTAACTGAGCAGGGAAGTGGTCAGTGCAGAGGACTGACGTTTGCCTATTTTCTGCAACCTCCACTTGGAAGAGTGACCTGCAGGCCCCATCTACAAGCCAATGCCCAGCGACCATCACCAGGGATCAGAGGATCCTTGCCTCGATGGAAAAGTCAATCCAGAAAAACTCTTGAACAGAACACTCTGGAAATCTCATGCAAATCTTCTTTTCCACTGTATTTTGCAGGGAGTCTTTCTCTTCAGTGCTGTCCAAATGACTCCACTCACAATGGGAAGTTACGTTTTCCCAAAATGGGGCCAAGGGGTTGGCTGGTTCATGGCTTTGTCTTCCATGGTGCTGATCCCTGGCTATATGGCATACATGTTTCTAACCCTGAAAGGCTCCTTAAAACAGGTAAGTCTCTCTTTTTCCTGAATGCATGATTTCACCTGTGAGACCTGTGCACACTGATCAGAGGTTGCTGGGCAGGTCTTTTCTGCTGTCTGTTTGCTGTGGCCTCATTTGCTTAACCCAGTTAATTTACATTGAGCTGAAAAACATAAAACCAAGGACCAAACAGACCAAAGGCAAGGCAGTGTCTGTACCATCTGTTGTTAAACACAACTCGTAGCATCAAGTGTCCTTATCTCTGGGATTTGAGAGTTCCAGATGCTTTGCAACCCATCTCCTTACACTCAGAAACCAAAGCAGCATTTTACCAAGTATGTAAATTTGTCCTTACTAATACAAGCCACGCTGTCATGTGTCAAGGCAGGTGATGCTCTAAGGAACTGGAATCAAGCTGAAAACTGGACTAAACCCACATAACTCACAGTTCCATGAGTCTGCTCACAGTGATCCTTTTTAGCATCCCTCTGCAATGTGTTGCAAGTTACACCTGGTTTAAATTACACTCCCTGCCTTGCTCTGCTGCAACTCAGAGGAAGTACATGTAAAATCTCGGGAGCGTATTTTATGACTATCTGACCTTCCCTTTAGTCTTTATTTGAGGGATTTCTGTGAACAGTTTCTTCTGAAGAGCATTAGAGACCTTCTTCCCATGGCACTGTGCTTTAAGCCTCTCCCAGGTTCCTTATCCCATCTGTTAAAAGGAGATGACACTTCCCACGTAAGAGATGCTTAAATCTGTTTTAGAGTCCTTGGAGAAATGCTGCTCAAGGAATGTGAGCTGGTCATGAAGTTATTGACCCCGCACACTGCCCAGTAACCGCTTGGTTTTCTTTAAGCTGGGTGCATCCTCAGTTTTCCCTCTCAGCCAATAATCTCTCTGTAAGGGGCCCTTTTCCAGCACAAGGGTTGAAACACGCATCCCTGTCTTCTGTGGTTGGGGGAACCAAAGATTGTCAGAATGAATCTGTCACAGTTTCTGGAACATTCTAAAGTCAGCTGACAGAGCCCTCTTTGCAAGGGGGCAGGTGATCCTAAGCAGAACTGACGAGCAATGCTGAGACCTTGAGCCAAATATTTGTCTTCAGCAGATTTTAAAAGACTCGGTGTCTTTTTCTTTCCCCTGCTTGTCCCTAGCCCCTGCACTTTGAGCAGCTTTCCTTTAGTTCGATGGAAACATTTACCTGCAAACAGAGAATTGTTGCTCTAATATACAGCAGCTTCTGGGGCAGAGTTGTGCAAGACCACAGTAAAAATTCCTCATCTCAGTCTTGCTGTGGGTTAAGGTCTCATTTGTGAAGCATTGACAAATGATCATTAGATAATAGAAGGAACCTACAACATGATGATTAAAACTGGGCTCTAGATACAAGTGTAAGCTAGGCAGGTACTCTTCCTGACTGGAGAACACAAAAGGACTAGGAAAGATGGAACCGAAGTAAAGCAATCTGAACTGCAAGTCTACTTCACTTGTATCCTTGGAGGCAGTAACTCCCAGAACCTGCTGCCAACATTCTCCAGTCCCCTCTGCTTCCTGGGGCAGTCACCATCACATCTGCAATCCGGCTTTGAGTCCCTGCTGCAGCCTCTGTGCTGCGGCTTGCTGCGGTCCCTCCTCTGCCCCACATGGCCTCTCCTTGATTCTGTTCCCCAGGCATGCTCAGCTGGGAATGCCAGGGGCATAGATTGCTTTGCAGGTGGTCTCCAAACTCACTGTCATGTCCAGAACATAGCTAACACTGGTTCTAGTACCTGTGGCTCACTGCATTTTTGGTTCCTTGGGAGAGACAGGTGTTTCATTTTCATAGAATCACAGAATCACAGAATGGTTTGGGTTGGAAAGGACCTTAAGATCATCCAGTTCCAACCCCCTGCCACGGGCAGGGACACCTCACACTAGAGCATGTCACCCAAGGCTCTGCGCAACCCTTGAACACCGCCAGGGATGGAGCATTTACCACTTCTCTGGGCAGCCTGTTCTAGCGTCTCACCACCCTCACAGTAATGAACTTCTTCCTTATATCTAACCTGAAATTAGTTCTAATTCCTGGGCAGAAGTGGTTCGGGTTGCCTTTAAAAACTGGCCACCCAAACCCCTTAGTTTTTTGCCTGCCTCACATTTATTGTTCTTTCAGCGCATCCAAGTGATGATTCAGCCAAGTGAAGACATCACTCACCCTGAAAATGGGCCAGACCAGGCCCAGCAGGGCAACTCTGCAAACAAAGAAGCCTACATCTAAACGTCTCTGTCGTCGAAGCACCAAGACAACTCCAGAACAACAAAAAATATGGTTGAATATGACCACAAATTCATGTCCGAGAATATAATTACCTACCTCTAGTGGCAAAAAAAAAAAAAAAAAGAAAAAAAAAGGAAAAAAAAAGACAAAAGGTCATCTCCACCACAAGGGAATAGCCATGGGCATGATCCACCACTGCGCGAGCTCACACGTCGAGTGTTCTGTGTTCTCTGGCAACCCATAGACTGTTAATGTTTTTATCCTTTCACAATAATAGTTGCATATCTTGGAATTTGTAAATTGATGTGCCAAGACCTTTTTAATCTACCTTTTAGCAGGACTATTTGAAGTTTCGTGCTGCTGATTTTTAGTAGTTTATCACTATTTCTTACCGCTCAATCCCAAGACTGTTATTTCTGACTTTACAGGAGTAAAAATTCAGTTTGGAGTTGTTTCGTACAAAAGAATGAAGTATTTTGTAAACAAGTGATTTCCAGTGAAAGTCTGCCCTTAAACTTGGTTCCAGTCAAGGCCATTTGAAGGGGAAGAGTCTTCCTTCAGTTAACAGCAGACACATTCCTCTATACACATTCCTTTAAGCACTTTCCTAGTGCAGTTGAGTCCCGTGGCTGTTTGGCAGCCCAGCACAACACTGCTCTAAGTGCTACCTGCACTTGTTCTTTCAGGATACCTTTTGAATAAGATTATAAATGTCTTTTAAAATCCATACACTGTTTCTGATGAAAAAGAGCATGTCTTTGTGAATCAATGCGACACAAGCCGCAGATGCTAGAGGCAAAAATATGTCTTTTTTAGCAATATAAGAAATAATATCCAAGAGCTCTTAAAGATTCCCAGGAGTAAAAGAAATACCAAGTACTTGCAACTCGAGCTCAGAGTACTTGAGTTTCTATCATGCTGTTACGATTCTACTATTATCGCATTGCCACCAAAACAGAAACCAAACCAATGGCCTCAAGAGTGAAGCTCGTCCTTGCAGCTCTAACTTAGGGCTCGCTCCACAACTGGTCTTTTGAATCTGTTCGAGGACTTTAACAGTTTCTAATAAGCAAATTATGAAATATGGCTCGATAGCACTTTGAAAACAGTTCTATTTTTATTTACCTATTATTTGTGGTGATGAAGGTGTGAGGGAAGTTGGTTCCATGCTACAAGAGTCTGCAGCGTGGGCTCGGTCGGCATTTGCCACACAGGGAGAAGGGCCGAGGGGTGCTCCCAGTGAATCCCTGTGTGTTAAATGCCACGGGCAGCCCCGTGTGGTGTTTCTCGTTTGGCAGCTACATGACAGACACAACGGATCCTGGAAACTGCAGTAGTTGGTGTTTGATTGTAAATGACTGTGACAGAACTGTGCAATGAAACATGCTTTTCAGCAGATTTTTGTGCAACGTACAATGTTAGATAGCACAATTTATGTAGAACTACTACGTGAAAAACATGTTAACTGTGAATGTTGGGTTTTTCGTTGTTTTTGTCTGAAGGTGACAACCATATTCTTGCAATAAGGTATTATTCTCAGAATGTCAAGCACATCATTGTAGAAATACTATATATATATAATACACATGCATTTCAAACGGCATCATAAAATCTCCGAGTATGTTTGGTAGATTCTAAACCCTTTCATACATAGGTCAACTGTAAAATACGATGAGACCTAAGCTACATCCTAAACAGCTATAGCTGAAATGCAAAAGTCCTGTAAGTCATTGGGATTCAGAGGAAACCTGTCCATCCCACACCAACATCCCAGATGATCCATACACATCCTAATTGTGACTTTCATTAGACTAAGGATAAAAACTCCAACTTCCTCTTTCTTGTTTAATGTAACCAAGTCCCATGTTGTTCTAAGACAAATGCAGTATTTAATGTTTGATTGTAAACAATTATGACCGATGTTTGACAGACCTGCTCTTTAGCAAAAAGCTGTACAAACGTATCATATAGCACAAACTAGTGTTGTAGAACTACTGTGTGTAAACTGTGAATAGCTGTATCTTTTTTGTAGTACTTGCCCTGAAAGAAAAGATTATTGTATGATCATGTAAGCTTTTTGCAATAAGGAAATATCTGAACACCAAGCAAATCTATCTCTATATAAAAATATATATGTAATATATACATATTCAAAAAATATATACAGAGCCTGTTTAAAAGAGTACAGTATTATTTAGTAAATTGCAACCTGTTCTATGGACCAAATGTAAAATATTTATAAATTAAGATGCATTTTAAATGTCTATAAACGGTGTCATAATTAAAGCACGATTGTTATGTAAGTTTCCAAGAGTTTAGAGGACAAAGAATAAAGGTTATATTATACATTAAATGCTGAATTTTGCAGTGTTTCATTGGCTAAAACCGAGGTGTGGCATTCTCTGTTTCATGTATTTATATAAGAATACTTCTATTTATATAACTCTATACATTTAGAAATATGCATGTATGAATCCTTACTATTTCTGTAGTTAGTACCTGCATTCCTTGCACAGCAGCTGCAGAGGCTGCAGTTACAGCTCTACCTGGCATCCTGCTGCGGGAGCACTCCTGCAGGGAAATGCAGAGCAGGGCCTCGAGCAGCCCTAGGGAACAACCTGGATTTGGAATGCTCTTGGGGTAGGTTTCTGGGGCTCCTTTGTGGTACGGCAGCATCCAAAGCTTTTGAAGCTGCTGCTGAGGAGCTGCAGCCGGTGGACTCGTGAAACAGAGGCCTGATAGTAAACGGACAGATTACACACTTATAAAAGTCATTGCTCTCTGTATCAGCTGCCACTACAGCGTGAGAAGATGTCAAGCAAGTCGCACAGCAGTCAGCCTTACATCTGCGCTGCGCAGTGCCGCTGAGGAGCCGGGTGCTCCTGTGCTCTGATTTTTGTTATCTAACGACAGAACTGGAGCAGGACATCATGCTGGGGAAGAACTGATGCCATCCAGGGAACTTGATTAGAACTGAAAATGCTCCTGATAGAAGAGTCTAAAATCATAGACTTCAAAATGCTGACCTTAGAACAGAGCACTCCAGTGTACAGGAGAGGTCAGATCCTGCTGCTGCTTATCCAACAGGCTGGGGAGGAAGGGCAGCAGCATGTAGGGATCCCAGACTGTCCTGGAAATGGAGGAAGAAGCAACTTTGATGCTGTTGAAATATAGAGGAACATTTAAACCATCTTTAATGTTCAGTTCATGGACATTGTGGTTTGTATGCACGTCCTGCTGCTTTCACACTATACTGGAAGACAGCGGAAGAGAGCCCAGTGCCTAAAGGGGACAAGAAGAAACCTGGAGAGGGGCTCTTCATGAGGGGCTTTGGACAAGGGCCTGCAGGGACAGGCCAAGGGGAATGGCTTTAACCTGCCAGAGGGGAGACTGAGATGAGCTCTTAGGCAGAAGCTCTTCCCTGTGAGGGTGCTGAGGCGCTGGCACAGGGTGCCCAGAGAAGCTGTGGCTGCCCCATCCCTGGCAGTGTTCAAGGCCAGGTTGGACACAGGGGCTTGGAGCAAGCTGCTCCAGTGGAAGGTGTCCCTGCCCATGGCAGGGGTTGGAACTGCATGAGCTTTAAGGGCCCTTCCAACCCAAAGCTGTGTTGGATTCCATGAGTACTGCAGCAGCACGAGGCAGCCCCAGTTGGGTGCTGGTGCCGGGCAGTCTGCGCAGCACGACGGGTCCGGCTTGGCTGAGGAGAAGGGCCCCTGTTGAAGGATATTGCGTTAGTGCTGTGATATTTCCGTGTGCTCCTGGAGGAATTTTCCCTTGCTGTGCTGCAGAAATCCCAGCAGCGATTCAACAAGGAAAATGCAAATAAGGTCACTTCTGCCCTGCAGGGCTGCAGGATGCCCTGGGAGAAAGCCACGTCCTTGCTCCTCAGCAGTATTAGTTCAGCTACATGTGCTTTCACTCTAAAATAACCCTGTGTTGCTTTTGGGGTTTTTTGTTTGTTTTAATCCTGGTTATTATTTCTGGTTCGCTCTGCTCAGGCCACGGAGGCATTACAATTAACTATTAGAACGACTCCCACTGTGGCTGCTTCCCGGGATGCTGGGTGAACCCCAGAGGCATGGCTATGCATTGCAGTGCAGACGGGCTCATGCTTACCACAGGCTGGAAGTAAGCATGGAGTAGCATCTCCTGCCTGCCAACACCCCTCCTTGGCCACAACCTCATCTGGCAGCTGCCGTTGAGCGCAGCGGGGAGCAGCAGCAATGGGTTGCTCTGAAACATTTGGACATTCACATCTGGGTCCTTTCCAATTCCGGCCAGATTCCCAACGAAGAGGAGTCTCCAATCCACTGTGTAGCTGCCTGCAAACAAACGCGCGCAGGCAGCCGTGGGGAGGAAAGCAATGCCACAAAAGCCTCATTTCCCAGGAATCCAAACTGATCAACTCCAAGTAAGCATGAGCTGCAGCAGCTGCCAACCCGCTGTAGCTGCTGCTCTTACCTCAGTGTGGGTGGGTGGCACACTACCATGAATTAACCAGTTTCACCCCTTACTCATCGGAGTGAGAAGGAAGGCACCAGGTTTTACATTCTAAAGGCTGCCTAGGAAGAGTTTAACTAAAACTGATGAGACCGAGGCAGGAGGGAGGGGGTACCCATATTACCAGTTTTCTTTCATGTTTTTCCAGGCTAAAGCTTCCATAGTTCCTCTCTTCTTCCTATGAAGTTAAACAAAAGAAAAGGGTCAGAGCATGAAGGGGAATTAAATGGGGTAAAGTGAGACATGGTATTAGTCCTGACACACAGCTCAGTCTTCTTACGAAGCCGATGTGAGTACCGCCACTTGTCAGCCCTGCCTCTACAAGTTGAGGCCAGTCAATAATTCTGCCACTCTTTTTTTCCTGCTGACAGTGCTGGGCAATGAGCAATTATTCCCCTCTGTTAGCACAGAAATCCAATTGATTTTTAGGGCTACAGAGCTGCGTCGGTGCCTTGTGCAATATCCTTCTGAGCAAACACGTGGCATTCAGTCAACAGCTCAAGCTGACCCCTGTGCACATGAAGAGGCACAGTTGTGCACTCATTCAAGATACCCTACTTCAAAGTTCATGAGTTGTCATGGGCACCTTAACAGTATTTTGCAACTGAAGAGCTGATTATTGTTTTCCCCAGGTTTGCAAATGGTCTCACATTAAAATCAATGGCAAACATTCCGCTATTATTTCTGAACATCAAACAGGCTGAAGTAATCCTGTGAGTCATAAGTACACGATGGTGCTAAACGTGCCCAACGCCGCCTAAAAGAGCAGGACAGGATGGCTCAGGCATTATCATGAGGGCAAAACCCGATGCGTTTTGCCAGCAGTGGTGCTTTAGTCATGTTGGAATGGCTGCTTTACATGTCTTGGGATATAAATAGCTGAAAAGTGCTTATAAACACTTTAAAGTAACAGTGGGTACAAAAATAGCCAGAATGGACACGTCACATTTTTGTCTGGACTCTCTTCTACACTTTACCAGCCTGGACGCCCACTTAGTGATGGGAGGGGAGTGAAGATGATGGGAACAAATCACTGTCTCATTACCTTCAGTCAGTGCAATTTCTGCTCATTATTCTAAAGCAACCTGGGAGCATCTAAACGAGTTTAACATAAAGAAAAGCATAAGAAAGAGGCTAGTTTTCATCTACTAAATGGTGTTCCGGACATCCCTGGCAATACCATATGCAAACACACTTTTTTGTGCCCGGCCCTCCCTGCAGAAGAGCACCCATTGCTCTCCCCACACATGCAGCCAGTTAACATTAACTACAGCCCATACAGCTGGTAGGTGACCCCAGTAACCCCAGTTGAGGCAATGGCTTGGAACCAGCCGGTCCCACAGCACGGTGAGGCATGGCTCTGCCCCAGGGCTCAGTCCTGAGAAACAGCTGAGATTCCTGCTGCCAGGATGCACCTCTGGAGCTCCACCAGCAAAACGCCTGTCCCAGCACACTCAGCTGTCGAAATAGGAAGTTGGTAACTATTACCTTGTGTACGTAAAGCTATTTGGTGCTGCAGGAGGGGCATCAGCTACCCTGGAATGACTGAGGAGTGCTTTGATGAAGATCTCTGAGTAAAACAATAAATCTCTCTGGGAATATAAGCCAGAGCGTCAGGTTGTGTTAGGGAATTATTTCTAGGTCACTTAAGTTCACTGCGCTGCACTGCAAATCCTTCACTGAATGATGACCAGAGCAATCAATCACAACACTGGAGAGAAGCACCAACCTGCACTGGAGGCGACTCACTTTGCCCTACAAGTGGAAGAGCTCGGTGGCTTTTAACCTGCTCTTTACCAGCTGCCAACACATGACCTTTCCTGCTGAGCTTCCCCCAGACTTAGGCTCAGGCTGGGGGGGATAAGGGTGACCTTTCCCAGCCTGGTTGCTCCTGCTGGGATCCTGTCAGGATCTGTTTCAAAATCAGACTTGGATTTGGGTTAAAACCCACCCCACCTCCATCCTCCTGCACTGCTTGGGGTAAATGAGCCCCTCGTTCTGTTCCTCTTGCTCCTGAAGACTCTGAGCTTCCAGCAGCTGACCCCAGTGTCTGATCAGGTCCAAGCTGGGAACAAGCTAGCGAAGAAAGACTGTTCAGCCTGGAGAGGAGAAGGTGTCATGGAAACCTCATAGCAGCCTTCCAGTATCTGAAGGGGGCCTATAGGGATGCTGGGGAGGGACTCTTCATTAGGGACTGCAGTGACAGGACAAGGGGTAACGGGTTAAAACTAAAACAGGGTAGTTTAGATTGGATATAAGGAAGAAGTTCTTTCCTGTGAGGGTGGTGAGGCACTGGAATGGGTTGCCCAGGGAGGTTGTGAATGCTCCATCCCTGGCAGTGGTCAAGACCAGGTTGGACAGAGCCTTGGGTGAGATGGTTTAGTGTGAGGTGTCCCTGCCCATGGCACGGGGTTGGAACTGGATGCTCTTAAGGTCCTTTCCAACCATTCTATGAGTCAATGATTCTTGCACAACTGAATCCCCACTGGTACAGCTTACCTGTGAGTGAGGTCTGCAGGGGATCACTGGGGAGACTTCACAACACAGGGAAACAGCCGGACTTGTGCTCATGGGGAATTGCTCTATGTTGAGCTCTTTCTCTTCCATCATTAACTTACAACATAACTACCTGAGGTGTGGCTTGAGCAGTCACTGCTGCACCGCACACTGGGTACCCTAGGTAAGAAAGGCTGCAGTAATTCAGACATGCCAACAACATGCACAAGCTTTTCTTTCTTCCAGTGCCCCATGTTGGCCCAGCCCACACAGACCAGGGCAGCAATGAGCTCCTCACCTTCTGAGCAGCTGGTCTGGCTGAGGTTGTCCCTGCTCATTGCCAGCAGTTGGAACTGGATGAGCTTTAAGGTCCCTTCCAACCCAAACCAGTCTGTGACTATGAAATAGACCTGCACAACACCCCCAGCCTGAAACACCCCAAGGCTCTAACACAGTGAACACCTCCATGCTCTACCTGATTGAATCAACTCTATTCAGCCCTGTCCAATCTTTCATTTCAAGAAGGATGTAGTAGAAAAGCCAGTTCAAGTTTCCCAGCTCTGATCAATTGTGAGTGAGGGAGATAGTGGTAATCTCCAGCAGCAGGTGAAACGCTGGGAGATACTCCTTTTAAAATGAGGAAATAAAGGGGGAAGGTCTCACCCAGCTACCAAACGCATTAACAGAGGTTTATCACAGATCTGCAGCATCCGTATTGATCTATGATAGTGGCCTTTCTTTTTCTTCTCTTTTTTACTTTCTTTGGACTAACCAAGGTAAGGCAAAGAAAACCAGAGTGACTGTGACTGTGACAGGGATTAAGCCCCAAAAGCACTGCTTTATAGCACCACTGGTTGGGGTTTGGAGGGGCGAAAAGCCATACACTGGAATGCCTGCAACTGAACAATAAAACACAAGCTTATGAGCAAATGGTGCAACAAAACAAGTCTGGAGACATGAGGGTTTTGCTGTTGGAGCAGGGTGATCGTACTCGGTTCCATCATTCAACTGTCAGCATGAAACATTGTGTGTGCTGCTTTTAAGCTTCTCATGTTCACAAAATGCTCCCACAAATATGCGAAGGGTTTTTTCTTAGTGCTTTACATACTATGCCTTACTCCACATTCAATATTTAATGATCTGGTTTCAGCTCATCCTTTCCTTTTGTAAGTGACAGGCTTCCCCAGGGGTTTCTGGCATGCTGGGTTTGTATTTCCACACTCTGCTTTGGTTTTCTTTGTGTTCTGAAGGTAAACTCTCCAGGATTACAAAACCAGGACTAGGGGTGAGGGCTGGTTTTATTTACTGCTGGCTTTTCAGGAAACCCTGAGTTTAAAATGTTCCAGGATTACTGCTATAGGAAAAGCCTCATGAGTAGCTTACATTAACATAAAAATGCAAATCCAAGGAATGCTATTGCACCATCACACTGCTGTCAAAGCGCAGTCCCTTCAAAAAAGCCCTTTCTGCATCAGGAGTACACACTGGTGTGCCCTGCCCCATCCCTGCCTCTTTTTTAGCACCGATTGACAGCATGGTTTCTGCAAGAGCCACTTGCC